TGGTAAAAATCTAGCAATGTTCCTGAGGAATGTAAGGGTAATTAACAGAGGAATTAAGCCAATCATATTAGCTTAAAGTCATGAGTTCCATGGGAGTCCTCCTATATTATTCTTTATTTTATTATATTATATTATATTATATTATATTATATTATATTATATATGCGAGCAAGCTTGAAAGGTCCCCAAGTCAATATGCAATATTATGCAACCAACTTATATAACAATATGCAAAAAAATTGCATAGTGGCTTGGGGACCATTCAAGATTGTTCACAAATGTTACTCACGTGCCCCCCTAGCATTATGAAGTAATTGATGAAATATCTGAGCCCAAATTGGTCACTGAGTGCTGTTGGGAATTGGGTTAAATATAAGGTCTGACGACATAAATTCTTTTAGTCAATGTGGCCTATCAGTTAAAGTATTTGACACGCCAAGGTGCATGGAGCCCTGGCTACCTGGGTTCGATTCCTTCAGGGGTGAGGATTTTCAGTTTGTTTTTATAAATTTTATATATATATATATATATATATATATATATATATATATATATATATATATATATATATATATATAGGCTGTGGCGAGGCTGTGCCTCGCCACAGCCCGCTGCCCGGCACAAAGAGAACCACACTTATCCAGACCTAACGACCCTCAGAAGCGCCCTGATGGGGTCACCTTGCTACCTTGGAAGGATGGTAAGCAAGTGGTATGGGACTACACGTGCGCTGCCACACTGGCCAGTACCTACCTCCACTACAGCACACGTGAAAGCGGTGGTGCTGCTTCTTTCAGGGAATCGCAGAAAATTATTAAATACAGAGGTCTAGCACACTGCTACAGCTTTGTTCCGATCGGCTCGGAGACCCTCGGTTCGTGGGGAAAATGTGCATTGAAGTTCCTGAAGGAATTGGGGGACAAATTGATCAGCACTACAAAAGACCAGAGAGCAAAAAGTTTCTTGTTCCAGCGCCTCAGTGTTGCGATTCAGAGGGGAAATGCCTGTTGCGTCTTGGGTACTAGTCCAACTTCAGAGGAATTCGAAGAAGTGTTTGACTTGCAACAATGATCGAACCCGTCTGTGACATTCATCAATGTTTCCCATTGTTGTGTTTTTCAAGAGATCCATAACCTTTAAGCACCTTTTTGCATTATTATTTTTGTATCAACCCATGTATATCTTGTAACCATCAAATGCATAATAAAGCACAAAAAATACAAAAGGAAGGGGGTGGTAGGAGAAAAGCACACAGAAACTGTATTGGAGGGGATCTAAACATTCCCTCTAATGCGTTATGCGTGGTTTCCTCCGAGGCTATGGGTCCCCCTTCTTCCAGCTAGAGGTGGTACTCCCTTCCAGATATATATATATATATATATATATATATGTCGTACCTAGTAGCCAGAACTCACTTTTTGGCCTACTATTCAAGGCCCGATTTGCCTAATAAGCCAAGTTTTCCTGAGTTAATATATTTTTACAAATTTTTTTCTTATGAAATGATAAAGCTACCCATTTCATTATGTATGAGGTCAATTTTTTTTTATTGAAGTTAAAATTAACGTAGATATATGACCGAACCTAACCAACCCTACCTAACCTAACCTAACCTATCTTTATAGGTTAGGTTTGGTTAGGTAGCCGAAAAAGTTAGGTTAGGTTAGGTTAGGTAGGTTAGGTAGTCGAAAAACAATTAATTCATGAAAACTTGGCTTATTAGGCAAATCGGGCATTGCATAGTAGGCTGAGAAGTGCGTTCTGGCTACTAGGTACGACATATATATATATATATATATATATATATATATATATATATATATATATATATATATATATATATATGACAATGTCAGACCACGGAGGAAAATGAAACAGGAATTTCCTTAAGTACTTTCGTATATTAAATACATCTTCAGAAGGAATTCCTTCTGAATTTGTATTCCTTCTGAAGATGTATTTAATATACGAAAGTACTTAAGGAAATTCCTGTTTCATTTTCCTCCGTGGTCTGACATTGTCACATTCTTAATCACGTGTTTATTTTCGTGATATACACACACACATATATATATATATATATATATATATATATATATATATATATATATATATATATATATATATATATATATATATATATATATATATATATTCTCGCTGGGCGAATATTGTGTTGATCCTCAGGACTGTTAGTATGCAATGCGAATGAGCTTTTGAAAATAGTGAAAAACGGATCAAAATTTTATATAAACGCTTCCATAAAAAAAGACTGCATGTTATATCCAGTTACAACGTTGTATTGCATGTAAAAAAGTATGACATGCGGTGTTGTAAACTTTTACCAAAACAAGTTATGTAGTGGAACAGGCTATGGCAAAATATCTCGTGTGCTGTATCAGTTTGCAAAAAATAGTATCGTTCGCTTTAATAAATGTAATATCGAATAATGTAACATTTTAATATTTCGTTTTTTTAAACATTGCAAAGCAATATTTGCATTCACTATTGGTACACAATATATATATAAATACTTAACCAAAGTGTTGTTTACAATCAAAATGTTTTCGCTGCAATTATGCACTTTTTCTGTAATTACAATATGATTTAGACAAACACTATACTCATATAAAAGTTCCTTTTCAAAGCAACCATACCTTGTGCATAACCCAAATACTTTCACCACAGCCCACATACTTTCATCACAACACCCATACTTTCACAAGAACTCCATACTTTCATCACAATCCACATACTTTCATCACAACAACCATATTTTCACCACAACGCCCATACTTTCATCATAACACTTACATTCTCACCACAACCCACACACTTTCACAACACCTCCAATACTTTCCAACAACCAGCGTACTTTCTCTAGAATTACCATAGTTTGTTCATGATAAATACATTTAAAATATACATCCAAAAAGCTTCACATCACAGAAGGCAAATTATGTTTTAGCTACATTTATTCCTTGTCAACATTATAATACTGAAATCCTTTGGTTGAAAAATAATTGCTTCACATATTTCGTAATTTTAATACGTAGCTTGCTCACATTTTCAATATTTCACAATCCTCTTAACTTAAATATAATTTAAGTTATTTTCTGTTCTCTTTATATGATGTGACTTTTGTTCCTTTATATTTTCCTGTTGATTCGTATTTTCCTTATATTTTCTACATATTATATAAAAGTTTATTTATAGTTCTTATTTCACTTTAATGTTTCGTCCTCCAGCCGCCCTGAAGATCACAAGTACTTCTGTGTCCACTTCTGTTTAATCTTCGCCTCCACTTCCTCCGTCAACTTTTTATTTATTCTCCTTCAAGAACCGCGTGCCTAGCACTACGGATATCGTAAATGTCCTCTTATAGTCTTCCTATTGCTCTCTCTGTCTCTAACGTAGTAGACGTGGGATCACTTGGTTGTTTTAAGTGTATGTTAGACATATGAATGCGTTTGGAGTGGATATATAAAGCTGCCTCTTAAGGTTCAATATGCCTTCTGCTGTTTCCTTAAAATGCCAATATTATATTAGCATTGGTTCTTTATATTGCCAAGTCTTCAATGGTTGTTTCGCTCTCCGTTCTCCGTGTTCTCTCCGCGCAACATCTTCTTATATTTCAGCCACCTCTCTCTCTCTCTTTCCTGTTTCAACTCATAAATTTTCCACAACTCCTTTGACTCTTAAATGTTTCCTTATCTTGAAATATCTGGCGTTTCATTTCCTCTTCCACCCCTACCTTCTTCAGACGCTGGGTTCCCTTTCTTCCGTTTCTCCTTAACACTGCACCATTCTACTTCTTTCTCAATCTCTACCCTCCAATCTTCTCTCCGCAAACCAAACCACAAATTCTCTTTGATCCACCCAATCCCATTTTTCGCTCTCCTGTGCACCTGCAGTTCAAGCTCTTCAGTTCTTCTCCCTAACTTGATACCCCTCGCATTGCCTCACCCACGATATTTTTCTCCTCTCTAACGAGACATCCTACCCCCCTCCTCCCTTCCTTTTTCGCCATTTCTCGTTACCCACTTCCTTTGCCAAACTCTTTACTTGCAACGTGTCTCAGAGGCTTCATTAAGGCCTGTGATAACTGTTTTAAAGACCTTCCGAAGATTTCGAAACCGCTGCCGCCTACCACCATTTGAAGAAAATGGAATAGCAAGTCCCTGGGAGTCTTCAGGATACGTCCTGTATTCCCTTCACCGTGGTGCAGAAGTAACATCAGTGTTGCATCACTACATTGCGTGGGATACCCCCTTCTCTGCTCCTCACAGTGAACGCAGAAATATATATACTGACGGTCTCAAGCATTATCACTTTCACTGAATTTCTAATGTGGTTGGGGTTCTTTTACTTTTTTATGTGTAGGTTCTTCTTTCATATGTGTGGGTTCTTCTTTCTTATGTGTGGGTTCTTCTTTCTTATGTGTGGGTTCTTCTTTCTTATGTGTGGGTTCTTCTTTCATATGTGTGGGTTCTTCTTTCATATGTGTGGGTTCTTCTTTCATATGTGTGGGTTCTTCTTTCTTATGTGTGGGTTCTTCTTTCATATGTGTGGGTTCTTCTTTCTTATGTGTGGGTTCTTCTTTCATATGTGTGGGTTCTTCTTTCTTATGTGTGGGTTCTTCTTTCTTATGTGTGGGTTCTTCTTTCATATGTGTGGGTTCTTCTCTCTTATGTGTGGGTTCTTCTTTCATATGTGTGGGTTCTTCTTTCTTATGTGTGGGTTCTTCTTTCTTATGTCTGGGTTCTTCTTTCATATGTGTAGGTTCTTCTTTCATATGTGTGGGTTCTTCTGTCTTATGTGTGGGTTCTTCTTTCTTATGTGTGGGTTCTTCTTTCTTATGTGTGGGTTCTTCTTTCTTATGTGTGGGTTCTTTTCTTATGTGTGGGTTCTTCTTTCTATGTGTGGGTTCTTCTTTCTTATGTGTGGGTTCTTCTTTCTTATGTGTGGGTTCTTCTTTCTTATGTGTGGGTTCTTCTTTCTTATGTGTGGGTTCTTCTTTCTTGTGTGGGTTCTTCTTTCATATGTGTGGGTTCTTCTTTCATATGTGTGGGTTCTTCTTTCATATGTGTGGGTTCTTCTTTCTTATGTGTGGGTTCTTCTTTCATATGTGTGGGTTCTTCTTTCTTATGTGTGGGTTCTTCTTTCATATGTGTGGGTTCTTCTTTCTTATGTGTGGGTTCTTCTTTCTTATGTGTGGGTTCTTCTTTCTTATGTGTGGGTTCTTCTTTCATATGTGTGGGTTCTTCTTTCTTATGTGTGGGTTCTTCTTTCTTATGTGTGGGTTCTTCTTTCTTATGTGTGGGTTCTTCTTTCTTATGTGTGGGTTCTTCTTTCTTATGTGTGGGTTCTTCTTTCTTATGTGTGGGTTCTTCTTTCATATGTGTGGGTTCTTCTTTCATATGTGTGGGTTCTTCTTTCTTATGTGTGGGTTCTTCTTTCATATGTGTGGGTTCTTCTTTCTTATGTGTGGGTTCTTCTTTCATATGTGTGGGTTCTTCTTTCTTATGTGTGGGTTCTTCTTTCTTATGTGTGGGTTCTTCTTTCTTATGTGTGGGTTCTTCTTTCTTATGTGTGGGTTCTTCTTTCTTATGTGTGGGTTCTTCTTTCATATGTGTGGGTTCTTCTTTCATATGTGTGGGTTCTTCTTTCTTATGTGTGGGTTCTTCTTTCTTATGTGTGGGTTCTTCTTTCTTATGTGTGGGTTCTTCTTTCTTATGTGTGGGTTCTTCTTTCATATGTGTGGGTTCTTCTTTCTTATGTGTGGGTTCTTCTTTCTTATGTGTGGGTTCTTCTTTCATATGTGTGGGTTCTTCTTTCATATGTGTGGGTTCTTCTTTCTTATGTGTGGGTTCTTCTTTCATATGTGTGGGTTCTTCTTTCATATGTGTGGGTTCTTCTTTCTTATGTGTGGGTTCTTCTTTCATATGTGTGGGTTCTTCTTTCATATGTGTGGGTTCTTCTTTCATATGTGTGGGTTCTTTCTTTCTTTCATGTGTGGGTTCTTCTTTCTTATGTATGTGTGGGTTCTTCTTTCTTATGTGTGGGTTCTTCTTTCATATGTGTGGGTTCTTCTTTCTTATGTGTGGGTTCTTCTTTCATATGTGTGGGTTCTTCTTTCATATGTGTGGGTTCTTCTTTCATATGTGTGGGTTCTTCTTTCATATGTGTGGGTTCTTCTTTCATATGTGTGGGTTCTTCTTTCATATGTGTGGGTTCTTCTTTCTTATGTGTGGGTTCTTATTTCTTATGTGTGGGTTCTTCTTTCATATGTGTGGGTTCTTCTTTCATATGTGTGGGTTCTTCTTTCGTATGTGTGGGTTCTTCTTTCTTATGTGTGGGTTCTTCTTTCATATGTGTGGGTTCTTCTTTCATATGTGTGGGTTCTTCTTTCTTATGTGTGGGTTCTTCTTTCTTATGTGTGGGTTCTTCTTTCATATGTGTGGGTTCTTCTTTCTTATGTGTGGGTTCTTCTTTCTTATGTGTGGGTTCTTCTTCTTATGTGTGGGTTCTTCTTTCATATGTGTGGGTTCTTCTTTCTTATGTGTGGGTTCTTCTTTCTTATGTGTGGGTTCTTCTTTCTTATGTGTGGGTTCTTCTTTCATATGTGTGGGTTCTTCTTTCATATGTGTGGGTTCTTCTTTCATATGTGTGGGTTCTTCTTTCATATGTGTGGGTTCTTCTCTCTTATGTGTGGGTTCTTCTTTCATATGTGTGGGTTATTTCTTCTATGATATTGTGACTTTTTCTCTGCATAAATACCAAGCAAATATTAATAATACAAAAATTACCAATAAAAAATGTGTCAATAATTAATATGGAGACACATAACAAACTTAATAAAGAATGAAATGCATAAATGGAAAGCAACTGTTAGACAAAGCGAATGTGAAGTACAATGATACTAAAATACCCGGTAACAAAAAAAAAATCCGAAGCATTTTGTGAAGTCTTATGGGATTTTGGAAATTAAAGCTAGAAAATATTTACACCTGTTATTCATGTAGTTATTTTTAACTAAGGTTTTGACATTTGTTACTTAGACTTTATTGATTCTTTATGTCATACTCTGTGGAGATATGTTTGGCAGCGTTGGTTATACTCTGTCAAATCATACCATAATATTACAGTGTTATTTCTACAGTTTATTTTATATGATTTTGTATTCGTAATATCCCCTCTCTATGCCTATAATAGATGAGCAATAGCTTAATTTTAGCTAATATACCAAACCAGCAAAAACACTTAAAAAATCACTACAATTAGTTTTTTTCACCCTTACTCGAAAAAAAACATGCAGCGATAAAGTAGCGAATTCAGGTCCTGATATCAAGCCCTGAATTCTAGCCCTAATGCCCCTGTTTCCCCCGGGAGAAAGACAAGGCCAAAACGAGAAAATAAAAGCATAAATCTTTACATTTCAATATGGCGTCTGTACACCAATATGTATTCACCTGCGTCCAAAGCGAGGACGGAGTTACACTCTCTCTCTCTCTCTCTCTCTCTCTCTCTCTCTCTCTCTCTCTCTCTCTCTCTCTCTCTCTCTCTCTCTCTCTCTTTTTTTTCCTTTCTGGAAATCCGGGTATTCGCATTTAAAACACATATATTTTTATGTAAATATACGCATGGCAGGCTAGCTGGCAGCCCATAAAATGTATTTTTCCCCCGAGATGTACGAGGCTACAAAACAGTTCCAAAGTACGAGATGAAGAGCGTGATGTTGAGGCGTCAGTGATGTGGGAGTGAATGCAGTGGCTGGGGATAATGTGGTGAAGACCTTTGGTTATGGGATAAATTATCATGCTAATTATTGGTAACTGTAATAAATGGGTGAGGCTTTTACAGATTTGTGATTCGAACAGAAGTCGTCAGCGAAGCACTGTTCGAGAAATGTTTGAACGTCATCAGTTCTGAGTTGTGTGTAAAGAAAAGCCAATTATCTGTTGCTCTTGCAGTTCATCCAAGATGTTGACTTAGCTCATGGTCAATATATTCCTGTAAGAAACAATTCTCTGTAGGAAGCCATCAACGCCGAGAGGGATGCTTGAACATAATCAAAATATAACTTTTTTAACTTCAACTAAACTTTGACTTGAGTTGAACTGTTCACCGTAATAAGACAATCACAAATTTTATACATAATCAACACCTCCACAACCTCATTCAGTGAATGCTTTTCTTTACCAGGATATTAAAGAGGATATTCAGAGTCGTTGCACTAGTCGACTTTAAGCAAATAGTCGAAGAAAAATCAATCAATGCCTCATGGGGTTCAGGGTTAGAGTTTACCAATATATTTTCCTCGTGGAAGGAGAGATAGAGAGAGCTATCATTTATCTGGATCAATAACCCCCGTACCACCATCACAGAGTGCTCCATGAAACCTCTAGTTATCACAACAAATCTCCAATATTAAAAAAATTTCTTATTGTGTAGGATTTCTACCAAGTGAGAAAGCCCCCAGATGTTCGCGCTGTTGAAGCGGAGTTCTCAAAGGATTTCTCGCAGTTGATAACCAATAAGAGTCACAGAAAAGCCACAGACGCCGGTATTAGAAAGCGCCCCCAAGGAATAGAGAGTCATCGGGAAGCCTCTCACTTCACTACGGGTTCACCATAGCCCGTGCTGCTTGGAACTTTTTGTTCCAAGTAGCGAATCTTAAACAACAACAACAAACTCTCAAGTATGTTATATTATTATGAGTGGATTTTGATCTCTCTCTAAACGTATGTATAAGATCACAACCCATACATTCAACTATTTTATAGCTGAAACCTCGGATATATTACTCCGTCAATGTTATCATATTAAAGCCTGCTTGCATTGAGTTATTAGATCAAGATGCAGGAATATTATAGATGTCCATGTGAATTACATTATTATAGCTGCACAGCCGAGCATTTATGACATAACTTCAGGCATATTACGTCGAGTATATAATTGTCGATGCGTGTGTTTGTGCCTTTTTATTTTGTTATTTCCTTTGTCAATAGTTCATAAACTTTGTATGATACTTTTTGCATATAATAATCAATAATAATAATAATATAATTGCTAATAGTGATGATAATGGCATAAAATATCAACAACAATAATGATAATATTTTTATTAAATAAATATTGTTTATGATATTTTTAGTTACATTACAAGAAAACTAAATCCAGAATTAATTTGTGTAGAGTTTAGTTTTCTAATTTCGAATTCTTTGAGCGTGGAGGCCTCAAAAAGTATACATATAGGAGGTGAACCACATTTCTCCGTATACCATATACGGAGAGTATACTATCGTCTTGAATTATGTTGAGAACTAAACGTATACCTGCTTGATGGTCAGAAACTTATTATAGGGGGGGGAGTAATAACCCCTCCTTAAAGTTAACTGGTCTTAGGCCCAGCACTAAACTAATGCACGTGTCCACCCCATACATCAACCTTTCCAGCAATCTAGATCCACAGAACTCGTTCACTTCCCCACGTATATATATAGAGACATACAATCATTTTCACGTACTTCGGTGTCACAGAATGATCAAACAATCCTAATATTGCCGCATTATTCCCTCTCAGACTGAGTAATTTTACAAGCCGTTCTGAGATCCGTTATGGTAGTCAAGTTATTCTAACGAGGCAGGCTGTCCAATAAACCCTGGCTAATGCTTTAATACTTTGTTCCATCTATTGCCGAGTTAGTTCCCGCTGTGCAGGCTTATTGGATGTGTACTCATATCAACGCCATACATCGCACGCTAATGTCACCCGTAAGCTACCGTGACAAAAAGGACCAATTTGCCTTCTCCGGTTTGAGTTAAGGGATTGATACAGCTGGAGAGGTTGCCAGTTCTCGTCGGACATTGCATGGGATCACATGAATTGGCAAAGTTTGATACATGAATAGGTATAATTGTAATGACACATATACACACACCGAGCAAGTTTCTGTTGAAGTTACCAGATCAGTCTGGCTGTGATTGTTATGTGGATCTTTGGGCTACGAATACGAACAACCTCACAGACAAGGCAATTACCAGGGAGGGGGGGGGGGAGAGGCAGTGGGAGTAACTCTCGAAATCGTTAATAGGTAATCAACCCTACATTTCGGTGTATATACACAATGATATATTGACATCTCGGTGTATATACACTATGATATATTGACGTCTCGGTGTAGACACACACTGATATATCGATATCTCAGTGCATATACACACTCATATCGACATCTCAGTGTATACTCACCGCATTTATTTAAGTCCTGAGATATGTTCCGCACTAAAAATATACTTGGTAGTAGTTTAGTAAGGTGGTGCCCGGTAATTGTAAGAGAATTAAGTTCAATAATAAACCAAGTAATGAGAGCGTGATGGAAAGAGGTGAGATGGGACGAACCTCATGCAGAGTAGTATTTAGCGTTAAAGAATTAGCAGTTTGTATAATATATATATATGTCGTACCTAATAGCCAGAACGCACTTCTCAGCCTACTATTCAAGGCCCGGTTTGCCTAATAAGCCAAGTTTTCATGAATTAATGTTTTTTTCGTCTACCTAACCTACCTAACTAACCTAACCTAGCTTTTTTTGGCTACCTAACCTAACCTTACCTATAAATATAGGTTAGGTTAGGTTAGGTAGGGTGGTTAGGTTCGGTCATATATCTACGTTAATTTTAACTCCAATAAAAAAAATTGACCTCATACATAGAGAAAAGGGTTGCTTTATCATTTCATAAGAAAAAAATTATAGTAAATATTAATTCAGGAAAACTTGGCTTATTAGGCAAATCGGGCCTTGAATAGTAGGCCAAAAAGTGAGTTCTGGCTACTAGGTACGACATATATATATATATATATATATATATATATATATATATATATATATATATATATATATATATATAGATAATACAGAGAAATCACATGTCGTCTTATATCAATGAGAAATTCACAGGAGTCGTGCATGGCCCCTTTCCT